GTGTCTGTCCTTCATGCCCATGAGCTCAATAGTTACCCACACTGGTTCCCACAACCTTGCATAATGTCCTGTCACACCACAAAGCTTCTATATGGCTTCTGGTACTCCTCCGTGATCTAGCACCTTGATACTCACAAGGGTTTGCTGAAATGCAGACAAAGGTGCACTTTTGGCCATCCAGCTTTCCTATCACATAGACACTATGTGTGCTTGACATTTTACACCTAGCTGTTGGGACTTTCACAGTGGTGGTTGGTGGGCATCTTTCAGCACTAACCACTACTGGTTTCCCTGAGGCTGACTTATTGCTAGTATTCTTCTTACTCTGGCTATTCATATGTCCTTGCTCTCCACAGTTCCAACAACCTTTCTGGTTAGCAGCCTTTCCTGCCATGGCATCTTCCCTGTGCTGAAGTTGCCAGCATTGAGCTCTCTTGTGCCCGGGTTTGTTACAGTGCCAGCAAAGTCCCTCAAACTTCTCTGAAAGCTGCCCTTTTTTGGCCTTGAATCCTGATGACTGTACCAACCTTGGTACCTCTGTGCTGGACTTAACGTAAGATTCGAATTCAAGAGCTCTGGCCATTGCATCCTGCATAGTAGAGGGATGTGCTTGCTTTACTTGTATTGTCAGTTGTGGACTGTCCAAGGTGTCTACAAACTGATCCCACAGCAACAGCTTGAGGACATTGGGTGGTGCAGTTGGGTAGCCCTTGTGTGCCATACTTTCCAAATTCTGTGCCAGCTCTTGCAGGTTCTCCCCTTTAGCACAGACTCTCATCCTAAACCTAGCCCTATAGACTTCGGACTGATTTTGAGTTCCATACATGAGTTCTAGAGCAGCTACCTGTGTTCTAAAGTTGTGCCTGTCGTCTGCTGACAACTGTCCAAGTATTTCCAGTTGTTATCCCTTCAGGCTCATTGCCAGTTACACTGCTTTCTGCTCCTCTGTCCACCCATTCGTTTCTGCCAGGAGCTCAAAGTGTGCATAATAGATGCAGCATTAAATACAGAAGTTAAATAATCTATACATTTCAATGTACTTTCTCGAAGCAGGACTACCAAAATTGTTTTTTTTAGAACATTTTTAGTTTTCCATCACTAAGTCAGGTCACAAGATACCTTTAGTCGTGGGAACTAGGGGTTGCCTACGTGCTAATAGTTAGATCAAGCCCTGCTGCAGTCATAGATTGCAAAACATTAGCTACAACACGTATAAACCAAATGGTTTCTGCTGTTCATTATTACATAATTGATGGTGTTTCAGGCTGGGATTCTTGAGTGTACACAGCGTGGTCACAATAAATAGACACCACCTTTTCAGAAAAAATGAAAATTTTCAGTCATATTCACATGAATTGATATATTCATAATTTAATTAATATCTAGTAGATCTTCCATTCGCCTCATGGAGTTCGTTGATCCTTTGGGGCATCGTGAGAATCATCTCGTCAATTTTATATTGTGGGATTTTGCCCACTCTTGCTTCAAAACTTGGAGTAGATCGCTCTTTGAAGTTGTTTCTTGACTTTCCGGTCGAGTAGGGTCCAGAGGTTTTCGATGGGGTTCATGTCAGGAGATTGGCTCGGCCAGGGCAACTTCTGGATACCATTTTCTTCCTGCCACTTTTGCAGTGTGATACAGTGCTCCATCTTCCTGGAACAACTTTGTGTTCTTGTCCACGAAACCCGAGGAATAAAGTGGTAAGAGTCCTTCCTCCAATATTTCGATATATTTCACAAAATTTATGTTGCCAACGCACTCCACTAAGCCAAACAGTTCCCCAAACCATCACGCTGAAAACCACCATGCTTCACAGTTGGCTGCAATCTGTAGAGCCAAAACTCTTGGTGAGGGATTCTCCAGACCCATATCCTTCCACTGTCC